AAAATACCACGATTATCAACGAAAATATTTTTTCTTTGATCTTATTCTACGTGAAGAGGAACTAAGTACTAAGTACTAAATTAGGTTAAATCTACGTCTTTTAGTAATATGATTAAATTATATTTCATCAGTATCGGATTAAGGCATAGACTAATGGGCTTGCAGCTAGAAGGCCTTTGTAGATTAATCCCGGACTTATTTCATTTCTGAATGATGAATTAAAGTATTCTAAGTTATCAATTCTAGAAAGAGTCAATTAATATATTGTTTATGAAAGTCTGTACATACCACATACAAACCTAGATGTGTGTAACTATATATATACATATGTATATTTATATATAGAATACACACACACGTGTGTGTGCGTGTGTCCTGCGGATATTTGCTTTGCATGTATAATGACACTCGTATAATGCAGAAAATAAAATAATCAAGATGAACCAGATGAATAGGCAATCGGAACATTTTTTTTTCCTTCAAACAGGGGCCAGCTCAGTACGACTTCAACTATGCAGTGAGAGATGACTACTCTGGAAATGACTATAATCACCAAGAAAATCGCCATGGCTACGATACACAAGGAGCTTACTACGTTCTCCTTCCCGACGGCCGAGTGCAGAGAGTTGCCTACACCGTGAACGGCGACTCTGGACACGTTGCGGAAGTTACTTACGAAGGAGAGGCCCAATACCCTGCTTACCAGCCTGCCTCTTCTCGCTCCTACCAGCCCGCCCCCGCTCCTTCCTACCAACCAGCTCCTACTCCTTCCTACCAAACCACTCCTACCTATGCATAATCTTTCAACTTTTATGCATGATTTGTTGACTTGAATATTTGTATTTATTGATTATAATTATAAGATGCATTTTTACTTTAGACTTTCTTACAACACTTTTCTTCACATAAAAATGTGGAAATATACATATCTGTTAAAACATATATACAAGGATAATATATCTGTAAAACATATATACAAGGATAATATATCTTTAGGTACTGATAAATATAGCATATATCTATATCTATATACATGTATATATACTGATAAACACAATACATACGTTATACATAAAAGATCTATAAAGGCAATTGAAACTCGATCAACTTCTACGTTTTAGCTAATATGTAAGCAAAGTAAATATATGAGGTAATTTACATGCAAGTAACCTCGCATCAAGAATTGTTGCCTCCTATTTAGTGAAGCGGTAAAAAGTAAATGATCAGTTTACTCTTACTGAATATTTTCCTGGCTCCCCTAGAGTGATTTTGGTCATACACTGAGGATAAAGCCTACCTATAGAATGTCATTAAGGTTTCTGCTTATTATCACACTTGTCCCGTCCGACCACTGCTGTCTCCTCGCGGATATGCTAATTTGTGAATAATGCAATGAACAAAGAAGACATAAAAGAGGATCATTGAAATTAATTTATATCTTGTTTGTTATACACATTTTCGGATATGGCGTACTGTCTCACTTTATACCTATATCTTGATCTTTCTACGACGCCCCATCCTCTGTCGCATCTAGCAAAGCACCTGTCTTTTGTGTAAGTCTGCATAAACTATATATACCTCCAAAATACCACGATTATCAACGAAAATATTTTTTCTTTGATCTTATTCTACGTGAAGAGGAACTAAGTACTAAGTACTAAATTAGGTTAAATCTACGTCTTTTAGTAATATGATTAAATTATATTTCATCAGTATCGGATTAAGGCATAGACTAATGGGCTTGCAGCTAGAAGGCCTTTGTAGATTAATCCCGGACTTATTTCATTTGTGAATGATGAATTAAAGTATTCTAAGTTATCAATTCTAGAAAGAGTCAATTAATATATTGTTTTTGAAAGTCTGTACATACCACATACAAACCTAGATGTGTGTAACTATATATATACATATATATGTATATGTGTGCGTTAGTACGCGCGTGCGTGTGAATACACAAATATACACACAAGTATATGCTTTAAAAGTATAAAATTATACATCACTAAATTTTGTTTAAAATATTAGTCTCCTTTAGGAAACTAAAAAGACATGTCACAATCTGCTCCAATATATTTTTCAATGTATATAGGGGAGAGAGGTACATACGCCTTTGGTCTGAGATTACACATCTTCCCACTACATGTACGACCGTTAGTGGCCATTGGCATCAAAGTGTTTCACTTTTAGCCATCATCTTGTATGCCCGATTCTCAGCTTTGCTAACACAACTACTTGTCGGTATGGTAGACACTGGTCATCCAGCTGCTAAGATCATCTAATGCAATTTGTTTCTAGATGTAAACCTCCATTGCTCTCTCTTATTACGAAGACGACTTCTGATGCTGAAATCGGTGTGTGGGAGAGGAAAACGAGCATTACAGGCTAGAGCTGTAGCTGCTTCGACCCTCCGATCAGCTAACTTATACCTATGGATACTAACATGTTACGTGCTGAAATTAGTGCAAGCTAATTTTAAACCGCCCTCTCCATTAGATATAATGAGTTTAAGATCTTGATTGTTGCAAAGATGGTATGCATCTCTGCTGTGAAGATAGAGGCTACCCATTTTTTTTTTTTTTTTTTTTTTTTTTTTTACCAACTGCAGTCTTCCTTCTGCTCACTGCTGTTCACAGTACCTTTAGCCAGGATTTAAAAAATAATAATAGAAACTATTTTTGATAATTGGTTTATGTATATTCTTACTGTTTATTGCGAATTTCATTTCGATAGTAAATTTGGTATTTTTGTATAAATAAATCGTGATTTTACAAACAGTTATCCTACTATAGTGAGGCCTGAAGATTGAGCTTCAGAATAGGCTTCGCATATGAATATGTTTTCTGTATATAACAACCAGCATTAACGCCTACATATATGTGCACAATCACATGCACCTGTTTTATTATTTTGCCCATACATTGAGCGCGCGCGCGCGTTTGCTTGAAGAAAATAATGTCCTCTACAGAGGACCTCATTTCCCCAGCCTTTTTCTCTGCGATAACCACATTTAAACAAGCAAGGAGTGGCCAGGATGAACATAAAATCATAAAGATAAGTAATAATGAAACCACGAGTTTGTTCACATAAAAAAAATAAAAAAAAATGTATACTTTGTGGAAAAAAATAATACTTCGAAGCACAAAAACATGTATGTGTGTATATGTATGTGTATATATATATATATATATATATATATATATATAGGTATGAGTGTGTATTCGCAGCTTGTTTTTTTTTTTATTATGTTTGTTTTATCAATTACATTTCAGGAATTTTGATAGCTACAGAGTCCCTTTGTGGTTATTGCTAATTTTTCGAAGCAATCATGACGTCATTTTCTAGGCCAACACCCGCCTATAAAGCGGCAATGCAGCCAACCCTACTCGTTACATTCAGACTTTTCTCGAAACCGCCGACATGGATTTTAAGGTGGATATTAATAAGTTTCTATAGTAGGCCTACGTATATATAGAAATATAGATATCAATAGACAGAAAGATGTGAATATACGTATTTGTCATTATTTTAGATAATAAGCCATCAAGTGTTTTATTTTTTGTTATTATTATTAAGCCAATATTTATTTACCTTTCGAACAGAGTTTTGCCTTCTTCGCTTTAGTGGCTAGGGCCCTAGGAAGCACAGTTCCTTCATATAACACGCCTGCGCCAACTTACCGTGCTCCTGCCCCATCATATAATACCCCTGCTCCTTCAGTAAGTGTTAGACTAATATTCCATACATATGTATTCGTATATATATATATGTGTGTGTGTGTGTGTGTGTGTGTGTGTGTGTGTGTGTGTGTTTGTTTTACTCAAAATTACAACGTTAGCTTAGTCTTATAACAACAGCATCACAACATGAAGTTAATCAAAAAGAATCTTCAAAGTAACTCTGGTATATTTGTTATATAAGTATTATATATAGGTACATTTTTTTCAAAATACCACACTATGCATAACCGTAGATAGCCATGAAATGCTACCTGGAATGGGAATTTTGGTGTATATATACGCAATTTTATATGCACCCACACTTATAAATACTATATATGCACGCACGTACGCACACACGCATACATAAACATGTATATATTGGCACACACACAAATATATAAGAAGATATGTATGTATATATCCATATATATATACACACCTGTGTGTGTGTGTGTGTGTGTGTGTGTGTGTGACGCGCGCGTTCTTGCTGATAATTGTGTACATAATTCATGCAAATGTATCGTATAGAAAGTAAAATAATTTAGGTGAATGATTAATCAAAATGCTTCAAACAGGGGCCAGCTCAGTACGACTTCAACTATGCAGTGAGAGACGACTACTCTGGCAACGACTACAATCATCAGGAAAATCGTAATGGCTATGGCACCCAGGGAGCTTACTACGTTCTCCTTCCCGATGGCCGTGTACAAAGGGTTGCTTACACCGTGAACGGCGACTCCGGATACGTTGCCGAAGTTACTTATGAAGGGGAGGCCCAGTACCCTACTTACCAGCCTGCCCCTACTCGCTCCTACCAACCGGCCCCCGCTCCTTCCTATCAACCAACCCCAACTCCTTCCTACCAAACTACTCCCAGCTATGCATAATTTGTTGACCTGAACCATTGTATTTATTAATTGTAATCAAAATAAGCAATTTAATTATGGTATTTCTTTTATCATTTTCTGCGAATATATATATATACATCTATATATATAGATACACATATATATAATGAGGCGGTTTTATGCTCGAACATGGGGATAGGATGTATTCAGGATTCTAACTCACGCAATTGTAGATACGATAAGCTTGGTCCCCAGCTGGTTGCGTTGCCGCTATACTGCAGTGGCCTCTCTTCCTCTGCGTATATATATATGTATATAAGAATAATATATCTAGATAAATACTAAAGACATTGCAGTGTTTTACATAGATATGATATACGTAAAGGTAGAAATACAAAAGTTGCATATGTAAAGAAAATTCGCCAAAGTTGTATAAAATATATTATTCTAGGGGAGTAGGGATTCACTTTTTCCTACCAGATAAGGAATCATCTCGAACAATACATCATGCAGACACACGCATATTTGTGTGTGAAGAGATAAAAGATAATGCTAACGAATATAACAAAGGCATGAGAACAGGAATAATATCGACCAGATCTCAATCGCACTTAATTACGCTTTGCTTTTACGTCCTTAGTTGAAAGCTAGAAAGTATTCTGGCTGCACATATCGTAAAGGACATGTTCAGTGTTAATCTCATTATCAATATTCCGTTTACAGAAAATCACCCTTAATCTCTGAATATGTATGTGCTTTTGTAAATATAAACACATACACCCTATATACAGTACATATGTGTGTGTGTGCTTGTGTTCATATATGTATATATGTGTATATGTGTGTGTGTATGTATGTATGTACAAATTAATGCACACACGCACACTTCTCCCACTACTGTGTGTGGAGAGATAAAAGATAATGCTAACGAATATAACAAAGGCATGAAAACAGGAATAATATCGACCAGATCTCAATCGCACTTAATTACGCTTTGCTTTTACGTCCTTAGTTGAAAGCTAGAAAGCATTCTGGCTGCACATATCGTAAAGGACATGTTCAGTGTTAATCTCATTATCAATATTCCGTTTACAGAAAATCACCATTAATCTCTGAATATGTATGTGCTTTTGTAAATATAAACACATACACCCTATATACAGTATATATGTGTGTGTGTGTGCTTGTGTTCATATATGTATATATGTGTATATATGTGTGTGTATGTATGTATGTACAAATTAATGCACACACGCACACTTATCCACGCGTACACAAGTACACACGTACACGTATATATATATATATATGTGTGTGTGTGTGTGTGTGCCATGCAATGTACCGAGTTTTGACATTATTGAGTGTTTGGAGGGGGTGCATAGGGGCATTCGAAGAAAAATGCAGGTTACATGGTAATGTCATTCCCTATAACATACTGTTAGAATTGTCTCGCTAAGGGTGGCTATAAAAGAAATATGTAAGAATGGGGAGTGGTCCTTTTCTGTCGATAATTTCAGCCGAGATAAAAGTAGGGTGTATCACAACATGCGAGTGTAACCGGGTACTCTGGAGTAACGGTAGTATGTATATATATGTATGCATGTATATTCATATGTGTGTGTGTGTGTGTGAATACGTTTGTATGTACAATACAACACACTGTGCATACCGTAGATAAATCTAAATGTGCGTGTGTGCGCACATTTGTGTCTATTTGTGTGTGCATGAGTATTTGAAGACTTTTGAGTAAGCGGACATTCTATCTTTTTCAGGAATTGTGATAGCTACATAGTCCTATTGTGGTTATTACCAATTTCTCGGAGCAATCATGACGTTACTCTGATGGCCACCATCCGCTTTTATAGCAGGAATGGAGGAAGCCCCACTTACCACAGACAGACTTTCCTCTGGATCATCGAAATGAATTTTAAGGTGAAAAGAGCAACACAATTGTTAACAATATATATACACATTTCTACTAACATAAATTATACACTGAATGGATTTTGTATACACGAAAATATTATTTTCCCTTTCGAACAGATTTTTGCTTTCATCACCCTTGTAGCTAGGGCGCTAGGAAGCACTGTTCCGTCACACAACACTCCTGCTCCAACTTACAATGCTCCAGCTCCGTCTTACAGAGCTCCTGCCCCTTCTTACAACGCCCCTGTTGCTTCCGTAAGTATTGAACCGATATTCTACAGTGTAAGTACACACGTAGTTCCGTGCATATATTCATTATCTATCTATCAATATATCCTCTTATATGACAGGGTTACGATTTTCAATAGTAAAGAAATTATAGCATGAGCTGAATGAAAGCATTTGTTTGCTATAAGTAACTAAATGAATTATGATTAAGCGATTTGGAAGGAACAAAAATGAACATAAGCAATTTATAGTTTAATGGGAGGGAACTGTTAGACCATATAATCAATCGTACATCAATTAATAGTGTAATAAAGCGTATCCTCATATATATATGAATAGTTATATATAGTATGCTGTTATAGAAACACTTGTATACACATATGAGTGTTTGTGCATGTAGTGTATATGTAAAGGATATAGTATTCATCAAGAAAATAGTTATTAATAATTCTTAACACTTCTATCAGGGAGCAGCTCAGTACAACTTCAACTACGCGGTGAAGGACGACTACTCTGGAAACGACTACAATCATCAAGAAAATCGTAATGGTTACGATACTCGGGGAGCTTACTACGTTCTCCTTCCCGATGGCCGTGTACAGAGAGTTTCCTACACCGTTAACGGCGACTCCGGATACGTTGCCGAAGTTACTTACGAAGGAGAGGCCCAACATCCTGCTTACCAGCCTGCTCCTTCTCGCTCCTACCAGCCCGCCCCCGCCCCTTCCTACCAACCAGTTCTTACTCCCTCCTACCAAACCACTCCTACCTATGCATAATCTTTTAACCTGAATACTCTTCTCTCTATTGTATTTATGAATGATAATTTAAGGATGCATTTCAATTAGTGTTTCTTTTATCACTATTTTCATATACATGTATACATACTTATATATGTAGGCATATTTATACTCACAGTAATACGTATAGATAAAGACAAAAATATATTCTCGTGTTTTACAGTCATGTGATATGAATGAAGGAAAATCATTATTTTTTCTATACTGTACATATGAATGTTAATTGAAAGATACATTTCAGTTAAACTTTTACATCACTATATCTTTATACATGCATACTTATGTATATGAATATGCATATATGTACAATGACAATACAGATAAGATATTGTTGCGTATTACAGGTATATAGAAGTAAAGAGAAAGCATCATTGTATTAGTATTATGAATGGTTATGGCAAGATTAGTAAAAGTATATGTGAAGTTTCACTGAGCCAATATCTAAGGAGAGCAGGATTCTTTTTATTTTATTTATTTATTTATTATTATTATTATTTTTAAGGAAAGTTGTTTCTAAAACATATACCAACAGATATCGGCCTACTAATCTAGTCACATGCTTCTCAGCAGCGTTGGGATAATACTGTAAAAAGTGTGCTGGTTTCCTGTGCCGTATTAGCTCTCATGTTTTATTTGTCTGACTTATTAACTGATGTCCATTATCGGCATGAAATATCTATGCCTATGGAATACCTGAACGTACTTATGTGTATACATAAATATTCATATACATATATGTATATATATATATATATGTATATATATATATATATATATATATATATATATATATATATATATGTATGTATTGCACATACATATATTTGTGTCTATATATATGTATATATATAATATATTGCACACAGACATATATGTGTGTGTGTAACTGTATGAGCGCGTGTATATACAGATACAAACACATACATACGTGTATGTGTGTGTGTGTGTGCGCGCGCTTGAAAATGTGTTAATATGTTTTGTGCTACCCACTTATAAAGAGAAAGATATAGATAGACTAGATAGACTGTTATGTCAGCTTTTCCAAAAGAAAAGGAAACGGGAGAATGTATCGTTATTCATATAGCAAAACCAATTCTACCTTTCAGAAAGTAAGTACTTAAGAACGACTTAAATACCCGATAAATACCCGGTTTAAAGCCAGAAATCGCATATTCTTAAAGAAAATACAAATAAAGTGCACAACGTGCACCGATTATTATTCATCTTAACATAAATGAAGTCCTGCCTGTCTTAATCTGACTAGTAAAATAACATTTAATTTCAGATATATAAAAATCATTTCAACATCTTTTAAGCATTTGGACTAATCTCCAAAAGGAAAATATCTGAGAAGAAAAAGTATATATTTTGACAAAGGTGATATTGGTGTCATACATGCAGTACGGTTCAGTTATTTACTTATTCAGTTACTTTTGGAGGTTTTGAAAAGGCAAACAGGTAAATATTTCATTTTGGTTCCTTTTGCCTATTTTCACAGACCTTGACTTTGCCGATGATGTTGTTATCCTATCTGAATCTCTGGAATCACTGGCAGCAGCTCATGTTGCCTTAAGCAATGAGGCGAAGCCCTTGGGCCTAGAAGTCTCCTGAAGTAAGACCAAGATTCAGGACTCTAGGGGCCTGGTAGGGGAACCCGTTCAGTCAGTTCCCACTTGCGGTGAGGACGTTGACGTCACAGAGAGCTTTACATATCTTGGTAGTGTAGTCCATGTCTCTGGGCTATCAGACCAAGAAGTCAGTAGACGGATTGGCCTGGCAGCACGAGCCATGAACTCGATCAACAAAAGTATTTGGAGATGTCGGTATTTATGCAGAAGGACCAAGCTACTTGTCTTCAAGGCCTTTATACCGCCAGTTTTGTTGTATGGTAGCGAATCCTGGACGATATGTAGTACCTTGGAGTTTCGTCTTAATGCCTTTTGTAACAAGTCCCTACGCCGGATCATGATCATTGCATAATCCGGGCCCGCAGGTTTAATGGGTATCTAGCTTGGATAACCTTGCCCATCAGGTTGTCTCTCTGCGAGACAATCCTGGGTGGAGGAGGCCTGTCGGACGACCTAGAAAGTTATGGCTTGGACAGCTCAACCAGTCCAGTCGTGAGGAGTTAGAGATGGGCCGAAAGCCTTCCTGGAGACTCGCCATGAGGATTCCCGTGGCTGGAAGCGAAGGGTGGATGCGATCGTGCGACCCCGTCGGTGTTACCCCTCTGATGATTATGTATATATATCCATACGGTGTGCAGTCCTGTGTTGTGTAGCGTTCCATAGTTGAGGTCTTAAAGAGTAACAACTATGTGAATTAAATGTATGATATTCATCTCAGAATTTGTTCTTGTACCTCCAAATATGCATAAGATTTAAATAAAATGAATAATAAAAAATAAAAAAAACGCGTTTTATATTTATAGCCTTTTGAATGAACAAATTCTGGGCCCAAAACGTCGTCTGCTACAGCTTACAACTCAAATATTACCAGTAGCGCCACCAACCCGGGGATAACGTCATGAGTTGTGTTCATTTTCTTTGTCATCGCCGTGAATACATGGATGAGAACCTTTTGTGTGATATTTTCGTGTCATTTTGTTTGATATATTAATATTAAGGGAAAGGAAGATATATGTTCGTATACAAACACACATTGATATATACTTATCTACATATGTATACTGTGTATATATGTATATATAATGTGTGTATGTATACAATTAGAAGTATTTATATATGTTTATATGTGTGTGCATATATTCATGTGCATATATATATATATACAATATATATTCATATATGTATGAATATATACGCATGTATAAAAATATATGGATATATAAATGTATGTACATGAATGTGTATACATACATCCCTCCCCTGAATATCAATTACATACCGAATCAGCAATAACATCTTTCTCAGGTAAAAGAACAGTGGAGTTGAAATGCAATTTTATAATACACGATAAATAATGTACATTACAGGTCTTTCTTCGAATTATGCATAGCTAGGAGTGGTATGGTAGGAAGGAGTAGGAGCTGGTTGGTAGGAAGGAGCGGGGGCGGGTTGGTAGGAGCGAGAAGGGGCAGGTTGGTAAGCTGGGTATTGGGCCTCTCCTTCGTAAGTAACTTCGGCAACGTATCCGGAGTCGCCGTTCACGGTGTAAGCAACCCTTTGTACACGGCCATCGGGAAGGAGAACATAGTAAGCTCCCTGAGTATCATATCCATTACGATTTTCCTGATGATTGTAGTCGTTGCCAGAGTAGTCGTCTCTCACTGCATAGTTGAAGTCGTACTGAGCGGGTCCCTGTTAGAAACAAAAAATGTGCTTATTAATCATTCATCTGGATTATTTTACTTTCAGCAATATAATAGATTAATATTCAACATTCTAGAAATTAATAAGTGTACAGTGAGATTGTGTGTGAATGTGTTCCATGCGTATTTGCAATGCTCATCGATTTCTGAGACCGTTCATGTTAGTGCTCATTTATGTACGGTATGTTTGAAGTGTACGAATAATGCTAAAACAGTGATTTGTAACTCCTTCACAACCCAAATTCACTTATTACCTACCCTTTTTTAATGTGTGCCCACTTGTCAATCTCATTTAATTAGCTAAGAAACTACTTTTCCTTATTCCCGTCTCAACTGAAAATATATAACAATCGATGTAGATGCATGTAAAAGGACAAACACACGTGCGTGCATATGTGTGTGTGGATGTATCCGTGTATATATTCGAAAGATATATATTTCTTTTTCCTGAATTTTGATATATAAAGCTGGTTCAAAGTTTATGATAAACATATAGAGCTACCAATATTACAGTCAGAAAAAAGTATCTGGTATTTTAAGCAACTATCACCTTTTGATTATATAATCTACTCTGATTTGTATTCGGATATTCAGGGGTCCGGGAACCTAAGGAGCTACAAATCAGGAATATATTTCAGTGCAAACAGACTTACAGAAGGGGCAGGAGCGTTGTAGGAGGGAGAAGGAGCTCTGTAGCTCGGAGCAGGGGCACTGTAGGTTGGTGCCGGAGTATTGTATGATGGAACTGTGCTGCCAAAGGCAACTGCCACCATGGCGAATAATACCAGAACCTGTATAACAAAAAAAAAGGAAAATATTGATTGAATTTCCCTAGTCACTCAAAAGGTTCCTTTTCCTTTTAAGTTTCTATTTACTCAAAATATAACCAGCACCAATGTATACCTGAGAAGACATGCCAGTGAAGCTGAGGAGAGAATGAATGCTGAAGGAAAGTAACCTGATGGCCGTTTTATAGGCGGGGTTCGGCCCTCAATATGATGTAACCGCTCCAGAGGAGCCAAAAATAACTACGGTGGGAGAAAATAGATAATTTCTTTTGATTACTGTCTCTTTAAAAGGGATGGGAATAATTCACAATAGCCGGGCAATTCCAAGTAAAAAGACCAGTCCACAGGTTTAATTTACATATATCCATGTGCATGTGTATATATATCGATATGTATATGTATAAGTACACACATGTATGTATATTTATGAATATATGTATACATATATATACAAGTATGTATAGGAGCCATGGACTTTTGGAGATGCCGGTACCTGTAGAGAAGGACCAAGCTACGTTTTCAGAACCTTGATGCTTTATACATGTATGTATGTATTTACATAATATGTGCGTACATATATATGTGTATATATATAAACAAATAAATAAATGTATAAATTAATATATATATTGGTATTGATATATGTTTACATAATATATATACAAATATATATATATATATATATATATATTTATGTCTGTGTGTGTGTGTGTACATATATATTTATATATATGTACATATGTATATACATACATACATATGTATATATGCATCTATCTATATATATATGTATATATGTGTGTTGTGCGTGTGTGTATGCTTGTGTGTTTGTGTGGCTGTGTGTGATATATATATACATA